TTGTTTATATATTTGTAGATCTATGTCAGTAGGTTTGAATTTTTTTTTTTTTTTTACAGTTTTAGAAAAATCTTTTTTACCTGGATTTGACGTGTACTGCATTGCAATCATGAGCATGGAGGAGGCTGAGAAATTAACATAAGCTGGAACTCCTCCATCCCTCCGGGTGGAGCCCACTACAGACGGAGAGACGAAAGAAAAAAAGAGTTTAACTTATTTTTATTGACCCTTCAGGTCAGGTGGGGAATATGTTGCATTAATCGTCTGTGATGGATTGTACTCACGTATGGCCATGGGGAGGAAGGACGTGCTGAGGTATTCGATGATGTCTTTGTGAAGGAATGGGGGGAAAGTGGCTAAGGTGGAGATCATAGTATAGGGCAAAGTGCTGAGAATGTCATCACTGAGAAAGGGCAGGAGACACGTGGTGGTATAAAATATGGACTGTCCCAGATCTAAGAGAGAAGAGAAAAGGCAAAAAAAAAAAAAAAGAAAAAAGAAGAAAAGACAGAGAGATACACAGACACCCATTCAATAAACAGTACATACAGTATTTACATACTGTATGCAGCCAAATGAAGCTACTTACTTAACAGTTTTCAATTATTTTTTTTTACAGCAAGTTGTCGTTTAAAGCCAATGAAGTAAAAATTCCCTCTCAGGAAAAGCAGAGCAAAATATTCGAGGTGATGGATTTTCATGCTTTTGAGATTTTTTTTTTTTTAAGTGGTAAAATATTCATGATAAATAAGAGCACAGACTGTGATGCAGACTTAAGCCAGTGAAGTACAGTGTGGATATCAGTCATTCTCCGAGACTCTAGGTGCATTAAAACAAATTACCATTACATTTACGCTTTTGTCATTGAACTTGTAAATTGCACACGACAACATTGGTCGAATATTTCTGCCACTGTACATAACAAACATGCAGTCAGGTATGATACACAGAAGAGGAGGCCTATGTCTGGTGTATCCAATGGCTTATGAACGATTAAGTTGACGGGATCCAGCGTGCTCCCCGTCACCCCATGCATCCCTCAAGATCCTCAGCAGGACTTCTCTCTCTTCCCGTTACAAAAGAGGCCAAAAAAGCAGCAGTGGCTTCATGCAGGCCAGACGGCTCGGGGATGATGATGACAAACAGTGGTGCAGTGGGCCTTGACTCACCATGCTGACCGTGCTGCAGCAGGGGCACCAGGTCAAGCAGGGTCACGAGGGTTGAATATAAATTTGTAGATCTATGTCAAGTATATTTATATATAAATATATATTCCAAAGAAAAGTATATGTGGAAATATATGTATATATATTTGTAGAAATGAACACGTCATTGTCTTTTGTTTTCATGGTAACTCTGAAGCCCGTGACTCTGTTGCTGGGTAACCACGTGTTATTTTTAGAGATGATAATGAAGAGCAGCTCATGGAGAAGACAAGGAAGCACGAGAACCAACTACATCCTCCAGTGTCTTAATGGTTCTCACTATCATCGA